ATGTCAGTGAGTTTAAAATGTGGAAACACCATTTATTTATTCTCACAATGAGGCATGAAAAATGTACAGTTCAAAAGGCACATATGTGTGTGTGTGTTGATATGGATTAGTTACTTCTAAGCAAGTAGGTTAAGACATTTATGGTGTCACGTGAGCACCTGGAAATGTTTCAGTATGAGATTTTACAAAGGCAAAAGTTAAAAAAAAACAAAAAAAAACCCCAAAACAAACAAAAAAAAAGTTAAGTTAGTCGCTTGTCTCCAAAGTCCCGAACACTCCTGAGACGATTCCAGTCCACAGTGCAGGTCCTGAAACCCATTTCCACAAGGCACCACAATGTCCACACCTGTAGACATGTTACATGAGTTAGTCAGACCTAATCAGCATTGTGATCAGAAGTTACTGCAGCGACTCCAAGCTCCAACAAGTTTACTATAGAGTTTATGGCCTCTTACGTAATGCTTGAGTGGAGCATACCAACCAGACTGTACAAATGAAACATGTTTGTTGTAGCTGTCAACCATTTTCAGATGTACATGTACGCAGATGCACACATTTTTAATTTAATACCAATATATTGTATCAATATACATAGAGCTGCTTAGTTTTAAGTGTTTTTTTTGCCATAAAGACAGTGATGTTTGTAATCAGTTGCTAATCAAATTCCAAATTGGCCAAATATTGAGAATAGAAATTAATTTAACTGTTAGCTGGTTCTTTCCAACTTGTAAACTGCTGCACTCATCAAATCCACCTGTAAAAGCTCATATTATGCAGCCAAGCAGTGCTGAGATCCATATAACGTTACTTTATACTCTAGTCAAGATCCAAAAGTTTCCAGATGTCATTTAAGGAGTGACAGGAAAATGTGTATAAAATGATACACTAGTTGTGTCAAATATTCCAGTAAGTGCAGCCATAAAAAACAATCAAATACCATACTGAAAAAGCTGACAACATATAGTATAAAAAGGTCCAGTGTGTATAATTTAGAGGGATATATCGGCAGAAATGCAATGTGATAAATATGTTTTCTTCAGTGTTTAATCATCTCAAAATAAGAATTGTCGTGTTTTTGTTGCTTTAGAATGAGCTGTTTATATCTACATATGGAGCGGGTCCTTGTCAACAGCTATCATGCTACACGCCCATGTTTCTACAGTAGCCCCATGGGGACAAACCAAAGACCTTGCCTTTTTATATCAGCCAATATAGTTATCAGCCCCTCTGCGACAAGCAGCGTCGGAAAACAGTCCAGTTATTCTGGAGAGGAAGAGACCTCTGCAGATAATTTGGCTCCCACTAAAAAAACTGAACATCTGGATCTTTATATATCAGAAAAAAAGGTGAGCACACATTAGCAAACACTGGGTGAGCAGTCCATCCGCGACCTGCCAAACAGCGTAGAAGAAACAGTGATTTGTAACAAGAAACTGCTTTACTCAGTGTTTTTACCAGTTTTGATCACCCAGACCGTTTGATTTGGAGAGAAGAGACCTCTGAATGATTCGGCTCCAAGTAAAAACCTGAACAGTGAACAATGATGGAATAATAATCAGAATAAGTTTCAGGTGGTTGCAATCTGCAATTCTCACCGCTAGATGCCACTAAATCCCCCAAACATCATTTCTGTGCCCAGTGGCATGGCAAGGCAGCTTTATTTGTATAGCACACTTCATACACCAGGGCAATTCAAAGTGCTTTAGAGAGTGATAAAATATAAAACATATTAGTAAAGAGAAAAAAAGATAATATTACTAAATGATTTACAATGTAAATTTTTTTTTTTTTACTAAAATTAAAAGTGCAGACAAGGGGTGCAAAAAAAGAAAAAATATTTAAAATGATTTAAAATTGAGTTAGAAATAAGTTGCAGTCATTACAGGGTGGAGCAAGCAGTGTAAAAACAATGTTTTCAGCCTTGACTTAAAAGTGTTCAGTACAATGTGGACAAGGACAGACTTTAAAGTAATTTAGGAATAAAAATCAAGACTTTTAGAGGTTAAAATTGAAGTGAAACACACCGATAGTAGCAGTATTATCTCCCCTTGAAATCCCTTATAGTTTATAGGGTGTCCACAGGTATCACACAGTTAAATGTAATACTTTAAAAGACCAGTTCAAGACACCTTTGAACCAAATTTAGGACAGACTTTTGGACAAATTCTGTTTTACTTATTTAGGTAAGCATTGCAGGAAGTAGTATATATGTGGTGTTGTGCAGAGGTGAATGTTATGGAGGAATATGGTGATTAGAGTGAGTTTGTGTACATTTTGCCAACAGGTAAGTGCAAGTATGAAGATCGACGACAGTATTATAAACTAAGCACAAAACGTAAGGAAATTTGTGTTTTGACATTTTCTCCACACTTTAACCATACAATCCAGCTGCCATGGGCAGAATCTGGACTCATCGCTGAACATAACATTCCTGCACATGTTCAGGTTCCAGTGCACATGTTGCCAACACCAGCGCGAACGGGCCTGTGATGGTGAAGGGCAGTCATGGCAGGCCTCCTGGCAGCCCTATGAGACTGGAGATTGGCTGCGTGCAGTCTGTTCCGGATTGTCTGGGCAGAGAGCCGTCGGCCACATCGTCCTGCAAACCTTGACTGCAGATCTGTAAAAGCCTGCCTACGGTTCCTAAGTGCTGACAGGATGATAAAAACGTCTTCTTGGGACACCCAATTCGCGGCCTTCAGTTTGCAGATGGTACTAGGGTTCACTCCAAATAATGCCGCAACTTGGCCCTGTCCACATCAGTCAAACATGGCATGTCAATTCTTGGAGCAGACACCAACTGACCACTGTAGCAGGGCCCATGCTCACAGGTGGGTTGGTACCAGAAGCTCAAAACGAGTGAATAGCAACAGCAGAAAAAGCTGTTTGGTGTTGGCAGGGAAGATTTGGCAATTTTTTTCATGGGCGCAACCCACATACTCAGCTCTGCTGCTCATCCAACAAATGTGGCACCATTTAAAAAGGGAAATAAATAGGCTTTCCAATGGTAGAGGCATTGTTTCAACAAAGAAATAATCTACCAAACACAAACTTCCTTACCTTTTGTGTTTAGTTTTAGTTGAAAGATTTGTAAGAATAGAAATGTGGACTTTAACATAGGAAGGCTTCACTTATTTTTACAAAAAGGAATTAAAAATGGATAAATTAGATAAAATGTTTGTAGCAGTGAAGACCTCGCAAATTCAAATTCAAAGACACTGAATTTAAGACATTTTAAAAGGACCTTAAGACACCTTTAGCCTCCCAACTAACGTTACAGTGAATGGGGTTGTTGTCATTATAGATGGGTGTGATTGAAATCAGCTGTGAAATCGGTGCAAAATGGCCGGAGTTGTAAATTCTTGACACTCACATTAAATGAAATAAACTGAGCTTATTGAGAGAGACATCACCGTGGTACTTACAGAGGCAGAGGGGTCGGTGTGTCGGTGCTATAGGAAGGAGCAGACTTTCTGCGGTCTGAACGGGTTGTTGCTGGACGACATGCCGGTGAGCAGAGGGTCCTGCTGGGCGTTCTGGAGGCAAAACTGCTGCAGGTCCGCCGCGGCCTGGGACACCTGTGGATCAAAAACCGAGCCCCGCAAAGTTAGCTGCTGTCTGTGTAACCAACAGCTCTGTAACTTCAATAAAAAGCGGATCCGTTAAGGGGACACCATCGGTATTAAACCGAGACGAACCAGCAACAAGTGAAACAACACACGCCCTAAAGAGTAACGATGTTAGCCGTTAACGTTACCTTCACTCTGTTGATGCCAGCTTCAAGGCGTAGCTGTTGGACGACTTTCTTCATCGCCAAGATACTCGATGACCCCGACATTGTTAAGATTTTTAGGGACTTTAGTCTTAATAGCGACGAGTATAAAACTTTTTTGTATGTGTTGGTTGCTAGCTTGCTAACTATTTCTTCCTCATCAATGAGTTTCCGGTTTTCTTTAAAGGAGTGTCCGCTCTGCTGCCTTCAGGGGATGTTCCTACAGTCAATATTATATTTTTTACACTGTTTCTTCCTGAAATTATTTTAGATTAATGTCACCGAATGCCAACACGAATATATAAATGAAGGCAACATATTTTTAGTTGTAAATAACTAATCTATTGACGCTCTAAATTAAGAGAAAATAACTAATAATGTAGTTTTGACATCATTTGTGCTTTGGTAGGTTTAATTGCCATAGGCTGTCTCATACTGTTGCTTTGTTATAGATTTTCGACGTAGTTGATGTCGTCTGATCACTCTAAACATGATCTCAAAAACAGGAGTGGGCTTTTTGGGGAGAACAGACCATAGAAAGCTCGTCGTTTCTCTTAATTTTAACAATTACGACATTTTCCAGTGTACCCGAAAGCAGCATTACATCAGTTGACATTGTGACCTCTAGTGGTGAAAACGTATCACCACACTCAGACATGATAAACAGTGGACCACAGGAAAACTTCGGTACTATCTCGACATTTGTTATCCATATCATGTGTGGCTTTTATGAAAATGTTTTTTTCTTAAATGCAAAAGCCATGCATGTAGTTAAATAAGCTATGAAACAATCTAAAAATAAAATGTGGCGTGCTAGTGTTAAGAAAACTAAACCATATCACATGCCACCTTGACTGGAAGAATCGTAATTACAAAAGTATTCACCCTTTGAAATCAAGACGACATTAAATTAGTACAGAAAGTGAATATACTTGCGTAGCCGATGCAACTTGCAGGACAGTGTCAGCTCTGATGACCACAGATGGGATAAGCTGCTTCTCTCTGCAGCAGTTGTCACCATCAGCACCAGAGCAACCACTGCTGGCACTCTCATAAAAGAAACTTCACTGGGCGACTGACTGTTTGATTGTACCAGATTGTTACTGGACAGTCCACGCCTTCACAGCCCCCCCCCCCCCCCCCCCCCCCCCCCCCCCCCCAAAAAAAAAAAAACAAGGCTCCCTGTGAATAAACCCAACGGAAATCTACACTCCTTCAGAGTGTTTCTCTGCTTCTCCTTATGCTGAGCTGGACTGATAATGGAGCTGTCTTGTGAATCAGTAAGATATCCTGAGGACAGGAGACCGACCAGCTGCAAGGTAAGCTGTGGGGAATTATTGCAAGAAATCTTTGTGTTCAGGAATTCACAAGATTGACTTAAAGCAAATATAGCTCATGATGCTTGGCCTGTGTGCATATTGAAATGTGATGCTCTCCGTGTTTTGTGTGTTAAGTTTGTGGAGCTCCATGTGCTGTATGTGCCAGATGACCAGTGGAATGTGAAGCTCAATAAAGTCCCCGCTGAAGCCATAGAGAGCTTCATATCTGCCGGCTTCATCAGGTGAAACTGCTTGAAATGTTTAATTTGATTAAGACATCAAACTCAGATCAGATTACGATGTAGTGATTCAGTGGTATAAAGTATTCCAGTTCCTCTTCTTAAATAAAAATGACATGTTTCTTTAAAAATGGAAGTTTAAGTAAAGGTGTTGAAGGTGTCTGAAAGTATATGTATATGCAACATATATGCAGTATAGCTAATCAAGGTGGTGGGATGTACACTTCGATTGTTTCACTTTTAGAAATGTATCATGAAATTTGGCGCTGTCTAATATTTACATTCTTGATCTGCAAAGTGGCTGTTCAGCTGTCAGATAAAGGCAGTGACAAAAAAAGTACAATATTTGGTGGACTGAAACTTTAAAGTCTCACAATATCCAAAGACTCAGTATCTCAAAGTCTTCAAAGTACAGCACAGCACATGAGTAAATGCATGCTGTTACTTTACACTTGTGTCTTATTTGCTTTTAAAGCTTGATATAATAATTGTGTTGGAATTGAAGCTACTCATAGTTTTTTCTTCAAATTTCAGCAAATACTTATCTTTTCCCCCTGATTTTTATTCACACATTGGGCTGTAACAGGCAACTAAAATCCAATTCAGATAACAAACTGTTTTATCCTCGCTTTCTTTTGCGCTGTCACGTTTATTTATTTAACCTTTATCTAACCAGAAAAACCTCGAGATTAAAAATCACACAGACACACAGACAGACAACACAGAACAAAAACACAGAATAAAAATGTACAGTTCTAAAACAAGCAATAGAAAACACAAAATAAGGTTACTACAAAAAAAGTGTGTTAATATATGCAAGAAAAAAAATAACTGTGACATTGGCACACAGAAGTGCACAAAAATCCTGCAATAGTGCTTTGAAATGGCCGAGAAGAACCAAAGAGTGCAGCTTTCAGTCCTTCTGCAGAAAATTCCACATATAAGGAGCTGCATACATAAATGCACGCTTGCTTAACTCTGTCCGTACCCTCAGTGTAGACAATAAAAATGTGTTTCGTGAATGGAGAGCATAGCCATTTTCAATTTTTTGCTTAATGTACACACATTATATGCTGGAAGTAGTACATGACACTGCAAAAGTAGTGTAGAAACATCTATTATGCTCTTATGATCATATGTTGTGTTATTGTTAAGTAATCGAAAATCTTTTTTTCATCACTTTGATGTCAGAGTTTATCCTGATATCACCCTGAAAACTCTGAGGAGTGAGCTTGGAGCTCTCCTTGGCGCTGAGAGGGGCATCGACAAATTCTCCTTCCTGAAATGTGTGGGGCGCAGTTTGGCGCTGGTGAGTGCAGCTGGCTGTTTACTGTGGTTTTCTAGGGCTGGTTTTGTTTTAGCGGGCGGACAGTGGAGAGAAACAATGCAGACAGTTTGATTAACAAGTTCACTATTCAAGCTGTTAACACTAAAGGGTGTAAAGTGTGTGTGAGAGAGAGCGTTTTTACTGCCTTGCCTTTTACAACAACCAAAGTCTTTACTTTTGCAGGTCAAGAGCAAACAGGAGAGGGACCTGAAAGTGAAAACATTCGCTCCACCATATGTATGTAGAATCCATATTTCATATTTGCTTTTAACAGTTGGCATGGTGTCATACATCACTAACAAAAAAATATCTGGATAATGTAAGTTTAAGAAGTCCAAAAATTAAATAAATGAATTATAAGCAATAGTAATTCAGGTTTTTAAAGTAACCAAAATGTCTAAAAGCCCCAGTACACTCTTGGGCTCCCAGTTACAGCAGGTACATTACAAATGTATGTTGTTACCAAATTAGTCATCTTTATTTGTGTGACCATTAGTTTTCAATTTTGTATTTTTCCCTTAATGTTGTTATGAATGCAAGTGATTTCCTGTTTGTACTCGTCTAATTTATTTGTCAGCCCCGTAGCGTTGCATTATCCACCAGTTAAGCCCCACTAATGTCTTGCTGTCACTTGTCGTCAGGCCCCTCAGCCGGAGCTTTACCTGCTGCCCAGTGTGGAGAGCGACAGCAGCGTTTGCTCCCAGTCTCTCACCACAGACACCAGCAGCAGCTCCCCAGACCACCAGACCTATTACCACCCTCCAAAGACATGCAGCCTGCCAGCAGGAACAAAGGAGCCTGTTAAATTCCCCCTCATCCCCCAGTGTTCCCATCAGCCACCTCCCACCCCCAGCCTGGAAGAGGAGGAGGAGGAGGAGGAAGAAGAAGAAGAAGATGAGGAGCAGAGCTTTAGTTCTTCAGAGGCAGCAGGAGAAAATGAAGAGGAGGGTCTCTCTTCCAACAAGTCACAATGGGCAGAGCAGGAATGTTGCCCAAGGAAGCCTCTGAATCAAAGGGCACCACAGCCTGTTTCACAGAGTAAAGGTACAACATATGAAGTTTTGCACTGCAACAAAGAATGCATTACCTGCTTAGGCTGTACACATTGGCAGCCTGACACTTGTGCAGTTATTCCACACGATGAAAGTGAAAGTTTCTGTAACTTAAAGGAGCAGTGTGTAAGATTTAGGGGGATTTAGTGGCATCTAGTGGTGAGGACCGAGGATTGCAACCAGCTGAAACTTCTCCCAATTAGGACTCCCTCAGTGTTCTTTGTTTAAGAGGTTTTTACCAGGAGCCAAATTATCTGCAGAGGTCTCTTCCTCTTTAAAATAAATGAACCAGGTGATTTAAACCAGTAAAAGTACTGAATAAAGCAGTTCCACATTATAAATCACAGTTTCTCTGACGCTGTTCACCATGTCGGAAATGGGCCGCTAGCCAGCACCTGCTAATGTGTGCTCACTTTATTTTTGACACAGACATTCAGGAGGTATTTACCGGGAGAATTATCCGCCGTAGTCTTTTCCTCTCCAAAACAAATGGACCAGGGGTCTAATTTCTAAACATTGTGTACGCATATAACAAGGCCTGAAAGAGGCATATGACACTTCCCACCCAAAAGTTATGATCTGTAAAAACAGATTTGATAGGAGAAACTTTGACCTGTGCTTATGGTCATTTAGGAGACTGGAAATTGGCGATGCAGATGGTGAATTGTAGAATTTGACAAATATTTTCTGGTGCATACCATTTTTGGCTTTTGTCCAAACGTACATTTTAAGTACGGATTCTATGCATTGTTTTATGAACGAGACCTCAGGTGATTAAAAAAATTAAAACACTGAATGAAGCAGTTTCATGTTAAAGAAATCTGTTTTTCTGATGCTCTCATTGTGGAGGGGATGCTAACTATGGTGGCCAACAGGAAAATGTAAATGGCCCTTTCTAGAGCCAGTGTTTGTCTTTTTTGAGCTATGGTAGAAACATGGCAGTCGAACATGGCAATCTCCGTAGACGACGACCTGCTCCCTATGTAGATATAAATGGCTCATTCTAAGACAATGAAAACACAGCCTTCTCTTCAGGTGACTGTATGCTATAGAAAACATACTTATCATAATACATTCCATTTCTGCTAATATATATACCCCTAAATGCTACAAACTGGACCTTTAAAACAAAGCACTGCTGATATTCACCATGTTTTGGAAGAGATCTTGTCACTTTTGATTCATATCCTTGAGGTGAACATAAAAATGGCAGTTCAGTGTTGTGTATCGTACTTCATCTTCATGGAAAATCCCATTTCAGGCAAATGGCAAGAGCACACAAACAAATGATGCATAACAAAGTTTTTAGTTGTTTTAATGTGAAAATTCCATTGTCATTTTTTAACCAGGAGCTTTTTTGCTTTGGTGAAAAAACTTAGTACATCTGTCACCCATTTTTGGCCCTTTTTGAGACTAATCTTCTGGGTCTCACATTACTGCACTGAGCTCTTCAGCTGCCTTATTTCTACAGCTTTACAACGGTGTGAAGCTGATCTTGGTCAGGTGAAGGAGTCACCAGAGAACGAAGACACCTGCTGTCAGAAGCGACAGTACTACAGACAGAGCAGAGCTGCCAGAGATTCAGGAGTCACCCAGTCTTTGGAGGACAGAGATTCAGGCTTCTCCCTCACAGACGGGTACTGTGCAGCATTTCTGAGTGCCATATTTGTACTCTGCAGTCAATACTAGCCCTACCACTGCTGGTTGTTGTAACAGCGTGTGTGCTTGCAGGTTCGGGAAATCAAAAGATGCACATACACTGAGGTCCGTCAGGAATAAACCAACAAGTGGAGTAATGTATAGCTTTTTATATGTGCCAACATTTTTTGACAAAACGTTACTGTCTCAGCATGTCTTCTTCAGTCTTTGCTCTTAAACCTGTGAGAAAGGTTAAGTTTGAAGGATTTTACAGGGCCTTTAAAACAAGCAGGAAATGTCCAGTTTCTTGGAAGTTTTTGGTGTAATGATTAGTCCACATTCCACTGCCAGCAGGTGGGTGTAGTGGAGTGTGTGAGGTCTTGGAGTGAACAGAAGAACTGGAACAGACAAGTCCATAAAAACCCATTCAAATGAAGAGTCATGTTGTTGTGTTTATTGCTTGTTTTAAGGTGGCGGAGAGCGCAGCTGTGTTGTCTCGGGCTGTTGGGCTCACCTCTCAGGACTTGGCCGTGGTCACTCAAAAAACAACTGCCTCTGCTGTCTTTCACACAAACAGTAAGCTGTCAATTTGGCCACACACCAACGATTAATTGCGTAGCATTAGTTCAAGCAGGACATGATGTCAAGCTCAGCTCACATCCCAGCTACATCTTTGCTGCTGCTCTCCCTGCCTCAGGCTTTCCTCGTTTGCACGTGTAAGGGCAGAGAAGTGTGCTCTCTCCACCTTAAGGCTTTCCACGCAGGTGCATGGAAGGGCAGGGAGGTTTGCTCTCTCTGCCTCAGACTTTCCTCATTTGCATGTGAAAGGAAAGGCTAAGAGGCCCCACAACAGAGCCATACCGCCAAGTATAATACTGCAAATAGAAATAAAGTTTTCTTTGACTAAAGTGGTCCTAACTGAAATGACATTACTTTGGTTAAAATAACTAACATAGTTTATTTCTGTTAGGAGAGGAACTGATTGAGGAAATCAAGCTGGTGAGGGAGGAGAGAAAGCAGCTGGAGTGGACGAGGCAAGAGTTGCTGAGGAAGGGGAAAGATTTGTTGGCGCAAAACAGACACCGCAGGAACCAAGGTGAGCAACAAAATACGGCTTAATAAAAAGCTAACATCTTACAACGATTTAAGGTAAACCATGCAGGATTGTCAGTTACTGTCTGAAAACACACTCGCCAGCCAAAGTGCAATTAAAAGCCAACATCAGATTTTCCTCGCTATATTTGAGTTTTTTCAGAGCTGTCTCTTGGAGGCCTGCTGCTTATGGTCTGACACCTGGTCATTACCGTTTTATAAAGCGCCAAACTCACCTGAGGGCTGTGGTACACGCACATAAACGTCCCAAACACAGAAAATAAAAAGAAAATATAAAAAATATAGGCAGAGGGCACTTCCACACACTTCTAGTGGGTCATAAGTGATGATAGTATATCTTGAAGTTTGCCCGTAGTTTGTGAACCTAAGAACATAATTGTTTCTTGTGTGCTTTAACAAACCTGCAACATATTACTATTTCAAAGTTAAAACTGGCAGCATTGGCGGCACGTTAGCGCAGTGGTTAGCATTGTCACCTCACAGCAAGAGGCCTCTGGTTTGAACCCGGGGACGGGGGAGCCCTTCTGTGCAGAGTTTGTATGTTCTCCCTGTGTCAGCGTGGGTTTTCTGCGGGTTCTCGGGCTTCCTCCCACAGTCCAAAGACATGCAGGGTACTTGGTGACTCTAAATTGCCCGTAGGTGTGAATGGTTGTTTGTCTCTATGTGTCAGCCCTGTGATAGTCTGGTGACCTGTCCAGGGTGTACCCTGCCTCTCGCCCAGGGTCAGCTGGGATAGGCTCCAGCACCCCTGCAACCCTCAACAGGATAAGCGGTTGTGGAAATGAATGAATGAATATTGACTTTTAAGGATAAATACTCGTACAAGAGCTTTGCTTGATAGCTAATGCAGAGTTGTAGAAGACTTAACCCCTGTTGTTTTAACTGTAGCTGTCTAAGTTTAAGAAAAAGTAAAATTGTAATTCCTATATTTTTGGATAGAGGGTCAAATTTGTCAAAAGTTACTTAACTCTACTGTTGCTGTTTTGTTTGTTTTCAACATTAAGCACGTGACAGTTGGAAGAAGAAATATTTTGAAACCAAGAAGGCCACTGCACCGTTGGAGGAAAATCTGAGAAACTTACGACAGGAGTTGGAGACATTTTACAACAAACTCCTGCACCAGCTCCAGGCCAGAGATAACCGAGGGAAACCAAGACGACATGGCAGATCTTCCATAAAGGTAAAATCACATTGAGCTGATGTATGTCTGTTTCTGACTTTTATCGATAAGAAGGCAAAAATAATTAATAACTCAGAAGATTCCTTAACTTTATTCGTAAATAGACTGAGTCCAAATAAAGTATAGTTCCCAAACAATTGGATACTATGAAGTGGCAATATACTACCATACTTCTACTGTATTTGACTTGTGGCAGAAAACTATAAAAACTATAAAAAACTATAAAAGTAAATGACTGATTTGGAAAATCATGAATTTCAGAACGAGCTCATCATTCAGATCATGACAGAGAGCCATGAGATCGACAACCTGAAGAGGAAGATAGAGGATGCCAAGATGAAGCTGGTGACGGAGATAAAGGTAATTTTTTATGAATCTATCCAAATACCTGTATAACAGAAGTAGCTGTTGTTGTACAACTAAGGAAGCTGAGAACTAGTTGGTCAACAGGCATATTTAAAAAACACAGATTATCCTTTTCAACATCCTACAGATATTATGTGTGTTAACATACTGTGCTATAAAGACATACATTGTCAGGACTACAGAACAGTAAACAGTAAATATAAAATTATTTGAATGAAAAAATGATTAATTTTATCTCTACATTTAATGTTAAAGGGGGTCTTTTGTTAAGGCATGATGGTCTCATAGCAGTAGTGGAAGATGTATTTAGATCATTTACTTAAGCAAAAGTCGTAATACCACACTGTGAAAATACTTTGCTGGAAGTAAAGGTCCTGCATTCAAAAAATTTCTATCTATCTAAAAGCATTATAAATTATGTTTTTGGATTAATGCTTCTGCTGTGTTACTCTGTTTTGCATTTTACTGCCGTAAATGTTTAAGGTTGAGCTCATTTTAACTCCTTTATATACTACTGGATAGTTTAATCTAGTGCAATGTATCATGTTCTATAATATCATCATATGTTTGTAGCATTATTGTCTTGTGAGAACCACATATCTGTAAAAGTCAGCGTTTCATAAGCTGTTTTCAGCTTTGCGATGATGCATTTTCCAGCTGATCCATTTAGTTTTTTACCAGTTTATTTAGGTTAAGTAGTTCAAGAAACAAGTCCTTTCAAATTCATCAAATTTGGGGATACATGGCTTTTTACTGGACTGAAAGCGTATGAAGAAATTATCTTAATAGGAACTAGTAACTAAAGCTGTCATGCAGATGTAGTGAAGTAAAAAGTACATTTGCTCTGAGATTTAAAAGTATAAAGTTCCTTTAAAATGTAAATACTTACAGCAAAGTACAAGTATTTTGAAGATATGGTTGGTAACTTTTATGAAAATAAATTTGTGTTATATTTGCTGAAACTGTCACATGTCCCTTCACCCATCCTGCCTCTAAGAACAGCCAATCGGAGCTGAGGAGTCCCTAACACAGCTGTCAGTTATGTCAATTGCTCCATGTACCGCAGCCAAACTGTCAAACAACACAGCACCAATCAAATATAAATCAAGCTTCTGTTTCTGCATTGCCTTTTTCTCACCTCCAATGTTTTTAGAAACATATTTTAGTGTACTGTTTTGCTGTAAAATGAGAAAGTTGGTCCGTCTGGTGGGTGGTGCTTAGTGCTTCCATTTGACTGTTTTTAACTTGTCAGCCAGGTCACAAACTTTCTCATTTACAGCTAAACAGTACACTAAAATATGTTTCTAAAACATTTGAAGGGAGAAATATAATAGAATAGAATAGAATCTTGATTCATAAATGATAAGCGCTGCCTAGTTTGACAGTCTGACTGCAGTTCACGAAGCCAGTGACATGACTGACTCCTCGGCTCTGATTGGTGCAAATGTGAAACAAGCTGTTTTTTATTAAAGTTACCAACTGTAGCTTTAAGTACAGTACTTGAGTAAATGTACTACATTACATTCCACCACTGCCATCTGGTGTATCGTATTAACAACCTGTTTTTTTTTGTTGTTGTTTGTTTTTTAATGAATGGCTGCATAGTTGAGGAAACAGGCTGCCACAGAGCTGAGGGCCCTGAAGGCTGAGCTGGCCCAGAAGAAGAGCCAGTCCTCTCACCCCGGTCCCACGGCCTCTCTGGGCTTTGGAAATACCACACGGGAAAGACCTCAAGCTCAAGGCACCTCCATCTAACTTTGAACAAAACTGTTCTCTGGCCTTAACTTTGCTGGGACAGTGTTAGATCTTGATGTTATACAGCTGTACTTTCTACATCTCTTACTACTTTGTACCAGAGTTTTGTATTTTTGTGCTGTTGCTTTTTCTGCATTTTATTATTACTTCATGTTTGATGTGATCTGATTTATTCACAATGTTAATTCTGTTGACTTCTCAGATTTCTCAGGTGCTGTAATCTTGTTAGGAAGGAAACTCAAATGTTTAGCTGGTTATGTAACTTCAGTAATTTGCAGATTCATCAGAAAATGTTTATTTATGAAAAGCATAAAGTGCAAAGATTTCAGTAAGCCCAGTATCGGTCAGACAAAATTACTGTTGGTGTCACATTAAAAAGATTGGTTGTCTTTTTTTTTTTTCAGAGAACCAGTTATTTCAGTTTGCACAGAGGAATGTCAGACGTCACCACATTCAATAACAGCAGTAAAAGACACAGTAAAATCTTAAGTGCAAGTATGCATCCTTGAACAGGAGGAGGCCACACTCCATTACTGCTACAAAGGGATATATTGACTTAGCAACAATCAGGAGGGGTGATGGAAATTTCTGCAGCAGTGTTAAGTGTATCCCAGCTAGCATCCTAAGAGTGCATTCCACATCATCGCAGACTGCTGCCTGGCGACTGGTTCATCACCGTAGTCTAGGATGTTGCCATTCCACATGCCAATGCCTCTCAAACCCTTAGATTTCACCGATTCCGCCTTGGGACAAATACTCTGTGGGTCATCGTACCAAACCTGATGCATCTGTCCTTGCAGATCCTGTGGAAAAACAGGGTATATGAAGAAATCCTGAAATTAAATTTAATTCCTTTAAAGACCCTTTCCATAAAATTTTAAGACCTCATGGCAACTGTCATAGTAATAGGATGTCATAAAAAAATCAATACCATAGTATAAGATAAAAAATGTCATAGTATATTATAACAGCTGTCATAAAAAAGTCATTTAAAGTAAGAATGTAGTATGTCATAAAAAAGTCACAGTATAGTATGTCACAAAAATATGCAAAAAAGTCATAGTACAGTATGTCATAAAAATATGTGAAAAAAGGTCATAGTATAGTATGTCATCAAAAATTGCATCAAAACGTCATAGTATAGTATGATGTCAAAAATCCCAAAAAAAGGTCATGATAAAGTATGTCGTTAAAATTGCAAACAAAAGTCATAGTATAGTATGTGTAGTATAAAAATTGCGAAAAATCTTCATAGTAAAGTATGTCGTCAAAAATCACCAAAAAAAAACGTGATAGCATAGTGTGTCATCAAAAAATGCGAAAAAAGTCATAGTATGGTGTGTCGTCAAAAATTGCGAAAAAACGTCATCGTTCAGTATGTTGTCAAAAATTGCGAAGAAACATCACAGTTTAGTATGTCATCAAAAATCCCGGAAAAACGTCACAGTATAGTATGTCGTCAAAAATTGCATCAAAATGTCATAGTATAGTATGGTGTCAAAAATGTGAAAAAAGTTCATAATAATGTATGTCGTCAAAATCCCGAAAAAACGTCATAGTACAGTATGTCGTCAAAAATTGTGAAAAAACAAAAAAAAAGTCATAGTTTAGTATGTCGTCAAAAATTGCAAAAAAACGTCATGAATTATTTTATCGTCAAAAATTGCATCAAAACGTCATAGTATAGTATGATGTCAAAAATCCAGAAAAAACGTCATAGTATGTCGTCAAAAATCTCAAAAAAGTCCTAGTATAGTATGTCGTGAAAAACTGCGAAAAATTTCATAGTTTAGTATGTCTATTACCTTGTCTTCAAAAATTGCATCAAAATGTCATAGTATAGTATGTCGTCAAAAATCACGAAAAAAAAGTCTACAGTATGTCATCAAAAATTGCGAAAAAACGTCATTGTGTGTCGTCAAAAAAATGTGAAAGATCATCATAGTACAGTATGTCGTCAGAAATTATGAAAAGACGTCATAGTATAGTATGTTGTCAAAATTCGAAAAAAAAGTCACAGTATAGTGTGTCGTCAAAAATTGTGAAAAAAATGCCATAGTATAGTATGTCGTCAAAAGTTGCATCAAAATGTCATAGTATAGTATGATGTCAAAAATCCCGAAAAAAGTTCATAATAAGGTATGTCGTCAAAATTGCGAAAAAATGTCATAGTATAGTATGTCGTCAAAAATTGCATCAAAACGTCATAGTATAGTATGGTGTCAATAATCCCAAAAAACGTCATAGTTCAGTATGTCGTCAAAATTCTCAAAAAAGTCATAGTATAGTATGTCGTGAAAAATTGCGAAAAATTTCATTGTTTAGTATGTCGTCAAAAATTGCAACAAAATGTCATAGTAAAGTATGTCATCAAAAATTGTGAAAAAACGTCATGAATTAGTATGTCGTCAAGAATTGCAACAAAACGTCATAGTGTGGTATGTCATCATCAATCCCGAAAAAACGTCATAGTTCAGTATGTCGTCAAAATTCTCAAAAAAGTCATAGTATGTCGTGAAAAATAGGGAAAAATTTCATAGTTTAGTGTGTCGTCAAAAATCATTAAAAAACGTAATAGTATAGTATGTTGTCAAAAATCACAAAAAAATTCATAGTATAGTATGTCGTCAAAAATCACGAAAAAAAAGTCTGTATAGTATGTAGGGCTGGGCGGTATGACCTAAAATTTATATCACAGTATAAATCGAATCCCTTCACGGTAACGGTATACATCGTGGTATAAATTTAAGTGTAAAAGTTATAATAGAAGTGTTTCTGAATGGGTTTTGTAGTCCCTTAGCAAAGCTAAATTGATAAAAAAAAAAACAACAACAAAAGCAAAGATATAATGTATTTTTTAGAGCATTTATTGTGCAGATGCAGATCTCAAAACTCAAAATTAAAACCCAGTACTCTATGGTGCAAAATGTCCCCTGGGATCTATATCAAAAGGTGATTTCCTTCTTTTAGCAAAATCCTAAATGACTGAGTTGTGTTTTTTCCACCTGGACCTTTATGCTCTGCCATTTCTCCTCTAATCATCACGCTGTAACCTGTGACAGGCTGTTATGATACCACAACTATCACACATTCACATATGGAGTTTTTTGTGGAGCCCCTAGCGTCACATAGGTTTACATTACCAAAGGTTTGTGACAAACTCTCTTGCCGAAAACCAACTCCCCTGTGCGCACGGCGAGAGAGGAGAGGGAGAGACGCTGTGCTGCTGCCAGAGGAGACACTGAATGAGTTCCCTCTGAGCGGTAAGTCGCTAAAAGAGTCTGAGAAGTCCGGGGCTGTTCATAAGACATTAACTCACTCACTCACAAGTTCTCCAGCAACACATGTTGCACGTGCCACGCTAAATCACGGACGTGAACCATCTCCTCTTGCTCCGCTGTCTCTGTGCTCGCAGCCATTTTCACACTGAGGCAGGTGCAATGACGTCATCGACGATAGGACGGTAGAGCGCAAATCTCTACCGTGGGCCAAATTTATATCATTTCTACCGTCTACCGCATATACCGTGCAGCCCTAATAGTATGTCATCAAAAATTGCGAAAAAACGTCATTGTGTGTCGTCAAAAAATGTGAAAGATCATCATAGTACAGTATGTCGTAAAAAATTATGAAAAGACGTCATAGTATAGTATGTTGTCAAAATTCGAAAAAAAAAGTCATAGTATAGTGTGTCGTCAAAAATTGTGAAAAAAATGCCATAGTATAGTATGTCGTCAAAAATTGCATCAAAATGTCATAGTATAGTATGATGTCAAAAATCCCGAAAAAAGTTCATAATAAGGTATGTCGTCAAAATTGTGAAAAAACGTCATAGTATAGTATGTCGTCAAAAATTGCATCAAAACGTCATAGTATAGTATGGTGTCAATAATCCAAAAAAAACGTCATAGTTCAGTATGTCGTCAAAATTCTCAAAAAAGTCATAGTATAGTATGCCGTGAAAAATTGCAAAAAATTTCATAGTTTAGTACATCGTCAAAAATTGCAACAAAACGTCATAGTATGTTTTGTCGTCAAAAATTGCATCAAAACGTCATAGTATAATATGTCCTCAAAAATCATGAAAAAACGTCATAGTATAGTATGTTGTCAAAAATTGCATCAAAACGTCATAGTATAGTATGATGTCAATAATCCCAAAAAAACGTCATAGTTCAGTATGTCGTGAAAAATTGCAAAAAATTTCATAGTTTAGTACGTCGTCAAAAATTGCAACAAACCATCATGGTATGTTTTGTCATCAAAAACTGCATCAAAACATTTTAGTATAGTATGATGTCAGAAAAAACATCAGAGTGAAGTATGTCATCAAAAATCATGAAAAAACGTCATAGTTAAGTATGTTGTCAAAAATTGCAAAAAAATGTCATAGTATAGTATGTTGTCAAAATTGTGAAAAATCATCATAGTATGGCATGTCGTCAATATCACAAAAAAACGTCATGGTATGGTATGTCATCAAAAATCTCCCAAAAATGTCATAGTACAGTATGTCGTCAAAAATCGCAAAAAAAAAGTCATAGCATACTATGTCATCAGAAATTGTGAAAAAAAGTCACAGTTTAGTATGTCGTCAAAAATTGCAATAAAACATCATAGCATAGTATGTCATCAGAAATTGCTCAAAAACGTCACAGTGTAGTATGTTGTCAAAAATTGCATCAAAACGTCATAGTATAGTATGATGTCAAAAATCCACAAAAAAGGTCGTAATAAAGTATGTCATCAAAAATCATGAAAAAATGTCATAGTATAGTATAGTATGTCATCAAAAATTGCTAAAACACGTCATAGTTTAATACGTCATCAAAAACTGCAACAAAACGTCATGGTGTAGTATGATGTCAAAAATCCACAAAAAAGGTCATAATAAAGTATGTCATCAAAAATCATGAAAAAATGTCATAGTATAGTATGTCATCAAAAATTGCTAAAACACGTCATAGTTTAATACATCATCAAAAATTGCAACAAAACGTCATAGTATGGTATGTCGCCAAAAATTGCATCAAAACATCATAGTATAGTATGATGTCAAAAATCCTGAAAAAAAGGTCATAATAAAGTATGTCGTCAAAATCGTGAAAAAACGTCATAGTAAAGCATGCTGTCAAAAATTGTGAAAAATCTTCACAGTATAGTATGTTGTCAAAAAACACAAAAAAAACGTCATAGTATAGTATGGTGTCAAAAACTGCATTAAAATGTCATAGTATAGTATGATGTCAAAAATCCAGAAAAAAGGTCATAATAAGGTATGTCGTCAAAATCGCAAAAAAAAAACGTCATAGCATAGTGTGTCGTCAAAAATTGCGAAAAATCTTCATAGTATAGTATGTAGTCATAAATTGCTAAAAAATGTCATAGTTTAGTATGTCGTCAAAAATTGCAAAAAACCGTCATGGTATGGTATGCCGTCAAAAATCCTCCAAAAAACGTATGTTGTCAAAAATCACAAAAAAAAGTCATGGTATGGTATGTCGTCAAAAATCCTCCAAAAAACGTCATAGTACAGTATGTCGTCAAAAAATGACAAAAAAATGTCATGGTATAGTATGTCATCAAAAACTGCAACAAAACATCATACCATAGTATGATATCAAAAATCGCAAAAAAATGTCATAGTATAGTATGTCATGAAAAACTGCAACAAAACATAATAGCATAGTATGATATCAAAAATCGCAAAAAAATGTCATAGTATAGTATGTCATGAAAATGTGTGGAAAAAAGGCATAGTATAGTATGTTATTAAAATATGTGAAACAAAGTCATCATATAGTGTGTCATAAAAATATGTGAGTCATAATATAGTATGTTGCAAAAATACGTGGGAAAAAAAGTCATAGTATAGTATGTTGCAAAAATCTGTCAAAAAGTCATAGTATGTTGTAAAAATGTTGAAAAAAAATTCATAGTATAGTATGTCATAAAAATGTAATTTAAAAAAGTCATACAATAGTATGCCATTAAAAAATGTTTAAGAAAAGTAATTGTATAATATTTCATAACAATGTCACAAAAAATCATAAAAAGTCCCAGTATAGTGTGACGCAACAATGGCATTTGAAAAGTCAAATTGTTATATGTCATAAAAAATAGTATTAATCTCACAGTATAGAATGTCATAAAAAAAATCATTTAAAAAAGGCCCAGTAGTTTCTTGTGAAAAAAATAATAAAAAAAGGCATAGTATAATATGGCATAAAAAATGTTATTGAAAAAAAGCAAATGTATAGTATTTCATAAAAATGTCATAAAAAAATTATACAAAGTCAAAAATCTTAATCATCAAGTCACTGTATAGTTTGTCACAAAAAATTTATTTAAAAAAGTCAAAGAATAGTATGCTATCGAAAAATGTTATAAAAAAAGTTACTCTCCAGTATTTCATTTAAATGTCACAAACAAATCATAAATTTCATAGTGTAGTATGTCACTGTATAGTATGTCACAAAAATATGAAAAAGTCAAAGTGTAGTATGTCATAAAAATTTAATTACCAAAGTAATTGTATAGTATGTCATGGTATAGTACGTTATATAGTATGTCAGATTCCATTTAAAAAAGTCAATGTACAGTATGCCTAAAAAATGTCATTAGAAATGTCATAGCATAGTCTGTTTTAATGTATGTAAATGTTTTTATGTCTGTAAATGTTTTTTTTAAGTATGCCATAAACTTGTCATAAAAAAGTCATTGTATAGTATGACATAATCTAATGTGTGCCAAAAAAAGAAATAATTCATGAGATGTTGCTAAACAATAAAACATCTAACCAAAACACAGTTGTATATTTTAAGGCAAATTAACACAGAATTAGAGCATAAAACATATAGCTATGCTAAAGACAGCACCTTGTAGTTGAAGTAAGGAGCTTTCTGCTTGTCGTCCCAGAGCCTGCCAGACAATGAGCTGTTGACCTGCGTCATGATCCACTTGTATGTTTTCTGTTTTCCGGCTGCATCACTGCAGGGAGCTCCACGGAAAGGAACTTTCTCTAGAGAACATACTCCCTCCTGGTATGGGACAAGATGATAGCAGTAGCATGCGTTGCCTTCAATAATATTTTTCAAGATGTAAAAAAACAACTTAAGAAATCGCAGGGGAATGAGTCGCATATTCATCTGTATATATATCTTTTGTATCTGTATTTCATACACAAAGGCAATTTCACGTGCTTTACATAATGCATTAAACCATAAGGCTGGTATTATTTTAATCTTTTTCTTGTTGTCATTAAATCTTGTGAAAGTACAGACACAATGCCTCAATCTGTCTTTTAATACTTTCTGACTTCCCTGCCCTGTCTGAAGCATTTACTGGGGACTATTTTGAGCAGCATATAAATACTCATTTAGTGCTTCAGTGGGTAGTTACAGCAGCAGTAGTCACAATGACAACACTACCATGAGGCTGATGGTGATGTCATAAGTATCACTGGACAAATTAAATTTTTGACCAGAAGATGGAGCTAGATTAAAAGTTAAACGATCACGAAAGTCAGCAGGAGTCATCCTTTGAGGACCATGGCTAAAAACATAGCTTACCAGACTAAAAACACTCAACAACTAACATTTTAACTGTACACGCACATCTGACCTGGGAAAAGTTGAGGCATGGGTAGTCATAGCCGTACCACGGCACTCCCATCACCAGCTTCTTTGGATCGATCTTCAGACTCAAAAACTGGTCATAAGCTTAAAAGAAAGGTGGAAGGCATTTTACATGGTGGTGATGAGTAGCTTTGTATTGACAAGCTGATTCATTCTCAGTCAGTACTTAACAACTGGACAACAAACCATTCAGTGTTTGAGAGAGTGGGGCATTTGCCATCGCAATACAGTCCCCCATGATCTGGCTCTGTTCATCATAGGACATCACGAACACCAGGTCACAGGATTCAGCGATGGCAACGTAGTCATAGCAGCGCTTGTCGATACAATTTGGTGACCAGGCAACGTCAAATGAGACCTTAAGATTGGGACAAGGTAAATAAAACATTGAGAACATTCAGGTTAGGGAATGCTTACAGCCCCTCATTCATCATTTTCTTGTCCGGCTAATTCCTATTTAGGGTGATGAAGGGATTTGAGGCTTGTCAAGGATCCATTAGGGAAACAGAAAAGGGTATCGGGCTAACCCAAGCTGCATGTTTTATTGGAGAACTTTATCAAAACACTGTTTACCTGTGAACCTGGGATCTCCCTGTGGAATGCCTCAGTGGTCTCTTTGACCAGGGCTGTCAAAGCATAGTACTCCGGCGAGCCCTCGTCCACCGCTTGCTCGATGTCGATGTTGATTCCATCCATATATTGAATCTTGGCCAAGCTGACCCTCTCTGCTATCCATGCTGTCCTGTTTTGTTGTTCCATAATGTAGGAGAGGGGAACGTCACCTTTACCCACCAACAAGGGAAGAGAGATGGACATGAACGGCAAGGAGCGAGAAGAAGCATTACAATTTATTTAATATTTGATTGGCTAAAAATAAGTAACCTCTTTAAAGAATTTGGGTCTCTCATCTTTAAAACCATCTCAGAATGCCTGAGCGAAGCTAAAGACCCCTGTCCATTTATGGCCATATTTGGTGCCTCTCTAGATCCCCGCGTACTGTGTGAGACTGAAGCCGCCTGAATCGCTTTTGCTACCTTACTCGACAGACGTTTTATTTTATTTACAAGGAAAGATGCACACCTACCTACCTTTACACACTGAATGTAAGACATATAGCACATTCTTATCTTAAAGAAATTAAATACTCATTAAGGGGCTCCACAAAGACTTTTTATAAAGTATGACATCCCTCTCTTAAACGTCTTTTTAAAAAATCGAATTACCTGCTGTTCCATAAAAATTAAAAAGTCAGAACTAGCTATGCTCGCTTAATACAGCTCTCTCAGCCTGGCATTTGTATTTTTTTTTTTATTTTTATGATTTTAGAAATACATACTGCTCTCACTACATTCACATGCACAAAATATTCCAGCTTTTGCCTTTATTCCAAAAACACAATATTCGAACTAAACTGTTTACATTGTTAATAAAAATGATTATTCCACACACAGTCCTGTTTACATGCAGTCGTGCATACTTGGATTTACGTGCCCCTACATGTCATTTATCACATAAAATATGGAAAAGTGAAACAGCTGAACTGCTTTTACTTCTTTTCTCGTTTGCTTCAAAACAGATTTTTGTTTTTTTAGTTTTCTAGCAGTGGCAGACTGGTTCAACTGTGCAAACCCTGCCTCGCTTTCACTCCTTTAGCAACGTTCTTGAAAAGGTCGACTCAGCTTTGCGATATTTCTGCATATCCAAAAACCTGTTGATATCCAAGTCTTTCATAATGTTTAAAACTCAGTGTGCTTCTTCTTCCAACTAGAGATGTGGGCTTTTTTTGGGCATGCATCTCTATCCCACAGGCTTCTTGGTTTGTGTAAACCACACTGGGCTGGACATAAAAAGGCAAAAGGCCGATCGCTGCGGTCGCAAACTGCGGTGAGAACTCCAATTGAGATGTATATTTTGAATGCGCTGTATACACATCCAAAGAATGCTCCTAAAACCCAAATAATATCAACATATCCTGCGTCATAATCTTATAATGCTTCATATTTGGATTTATAGTGGATTATAGTGTGCATGTAAACATGGTCAGTGACTACCTCACACAGCATTGTACCACATCAGCCTCTGACCTTTATAAAACCACTGTGAGTCATGCTACAGTGAGAAGAGAAATTGACTCTACCTTTAAGTACAACCCGTGCTCCTTTGGAGTGAGCGTAACACATGAGCTCGGCATCATATTTTCCAAACGTTGCCACTGTGGTCACCATGCTCCAGTTGTACGACTTCCATGTTTTTCCACCCACGTCAAACACAAACACCTGAAGAAAAAAAAAAACCACAGAGGTCACAGAGGCACAGGACTCCGAGATTAACTGCAAACTACAATCATACTCAACCTGCAGGGTTTTTTTTTTTTACCATTTTTTTAATTAGGTAATAAATTCCCCAAAACTGAAACATGTAACAGACTGTGTAGTTTCAGTCAGTCTTACTTCTCTCTATACTGCCAAAAAAAAAATGTACCCAAACTATTAGTAACAAATCAGAGCTGAAGATGGTGAGAGTAATAACCATTATTTGGATTATTGCAGCATGTATTGATTATTCTTCATGAGTTAAATAATAGTTTAGTCTAGCCTGAAAAATGTCCCAGATGTTAAATATCCATCAAAGGTTACCAAAACCCAAAGTGATGTCTTATAGTCTGACAAGGCCTGAAAATATCAAAAGTAAAATGCAAGCCATGTTTGGTACTTGACAGTTGACTAGAATGATTAGTTGACTATTGACAACTATCCATGACTTTTCAATGACCTATAATACAGGCCATAACGATAATTGTAGTTTCAGCTAGCTGACATACATGGGGGGGGACAGAACAGGGGGAGAAAATGTGAAAGTGAAATTCCATGACTTTTCCAGGTTTTCCATGACTGTGGGAAGTCTGTACTGAATCTGCCTTTGATTGATTTTCTAATGACTGACCAGTGGGTTAAGGCAGTGGTTCCCAACTGGTGGGTCGTGGTCCAAAGGTGGGTCATGGGGCCATTCTGAATGGATTGCAGGTGACTCGCAAACATGTCAAGTTTGTGCAAAACACACTTTACTTTAAATTACAGTGAATTTCCGGTAAAGAGCTTTTATTTTGAAGTGCTTTTTCCTGCTGTGCAATGAGTAAATAATAGACAACTACTTGACAGAGACAGCAAACTAGCTCAACGACATGGCCAAACACAAGTATGATGCTGAATGTATTAAATTGTGTGAACCTTGAACTTACTGTCTAAGGAGAAATCTGGACCCCGTCGCTGGACCAGTTGGAAACCACTGGGTTAAGGGGGTGGTGATGCATTTAACTGATGATGTGTATGAATCTGTTAGCTGCTAACAGGCAAAGAAATGTGTTGCTTTTCCATCTAATTACGTCCCTTTCACTTAAGTTAGTTCAGCACAGTTGATTGCCGATCTTTTATCATTGACACCCTGTGCTATTATTCCCCAGTTACTACAAACACACATTCAGCTGACCAAGCATTTGCAAACATCGTCCCCATGGTCAGAAAAAAAACATGATCAAAATACTGTAACATCTTTGGGAGAGAAGCAGCGCTACTGGGCAAAGGTTAGTGTAGTAAACACAGGGAAATTGTGTGACTGACATTTGTGAAAAATACTGGTAAATTTTAAATAACACTTTTGTTTCCACACAGCTGCATGGAAGAATGTCTGCAAGTCAAACCAGTGAGCAACCAGATGATATCAGGGATCTAACTGGAATGCAGCTCTTATAAATGTTATTAGTTTCATCTGTTTGTCAAGTCCAATACACTCCTGTGAGAAGGGTCTATTAGCAGTATATGTCAACTGTAACATATTAAACACTGATGACTGTACAGCTACCAAAGGGGTATTTACATTAGCATTTTGATATGTGAGTTTTGAAGCAACCTGAGTCATCTAACAGCCAAATGTGCCCAAAAAGAGGAACCTTCTCAAACATCATGAGACCTTAAAACAAACACAGCAGGCTGAATGCACAAAGAGGAACTGCAGTCCCATGTGAAACTTAAAACAGAAACAACAGTAGAAAAGTTCAACAGATATTACTTTCTGCCATGCAGCTGATTCATCTGTAACAGTGTTCAGTGTATCCCCTTTTTAAGGTTAACATAAGTCAAAGGATGCCTTGACACTCTGCACCTGCCATATTACAAAAATAACCTCAAAATAAGCAAATTAAAAACCCATTAACTCCCAGCTAACCAACAGAGAGGGGTCTGGGAGGTCAGAAGACTCTTCTAGTCTCGACCTGCTTCTTGCACTGGCTTCCTGTTACATTTAGAATTGATTTTAAGCTCTTTCTTTTTACGCTTCACGCTGCTGCAACTTGACTTTATGATTTATAGTTTCACAGCGCTATGATTTTGTGATCATCGTAGTGCCTTGTTTGTCTGTTTTATGTTCATCCTGTCCATTTTCATGTGAAGCACTCAGTGTTTATACTTCCCCTAATTGTAAAGCACTTTGTGCTGCATTGACTGTATTATTACATTATCATTATTGACCTGAGCTGACAGAGGTCATGACAGCAAGTTCAAGAAGTTACTGATCTCGTATTCCAAGATGAGGAAGCAGATAACTCTGACCCAGTGAGGACAGCATTTGATGGTTGTAAAGGTTATAAAGGGTTATGTTATATTATATTATATCATGTCACATTATTCTTCCATGTTTTTTTATTGCGTAGTTGTTTGGCTGTAACTTTTTGTGTGCTGCTGTCTTGACCAGGTATACCTTGTAAATATGGGTTAAATAAATAAAATAAAATAAAATAAAATAAAATTATAAACCCCACAGCTGCAGAACGTTTCTTGCAACTTCCAGTTTGAATAAAACATATCTTAATCATTATGGCTGTTGTATTTTGATGTCTTAGTTAAAACTGGGCATGATATTAATTTTGTTTTCCATAAATGAAACAAAAAAAACACCCTTCCTGCTCTCTGAAATATTAATTACAGAAGAACCACCTTTTTAATTTAGGTATAATTTAATTTAGATCTGTGGTTTAATCTTTGAGTATGTGGGTAAAGGGTTAAATGCTTCTCTCTCAGTGATGTAGTGTACAGGTAGGTGGAGGTTCAACACCAATATGTTTGTGTGTGTTAAAATCGTTAAAACAAACAGACTGATGTACCTCAAAGTCTCTCTCCTCCCGGATCTGCTGGCAGAGCTCCGGTCTCTCACACGGACACGCGCTGGCCCTGCACACCAGGACGATGGAGGACAAAAAAATCAGAAGAAAGGAGGACATTTTTAAACCAAGGGGGAAGTTTGAGCTGAGAGAAGTCAGCGCAGTCGGACTCTTGCTACTATAAACAAATCACATTAGCCTCATGACTGCCGTACGGTGGCTGACATGGGCCAAGCTTCATCAAATTCGCTTTACCAACACGCTGTCCTAAATAAATTAAAAAAAAAAGCCGTTAAATCATCCCATTGAACATGAGTAAAAACACGTATTGCGAATTAGACTGTCAGGGGAGGTTAAACTAAACCTGGAGTAAATATTGGCAGGTTTCTGTGCATAGGGTTTCATGTCAGGAGGAGGTGAATTAGCATGCAGGTGGGAGAAGCTTTCTACCAGAAAGGTATTTCTTGGTTGGGTTTTTAGTCCAGTCATACGGAAGCATATTGCAATCTGTTTTATTGAGTCATTTTTTCTGTTTTTCGGAGTTTTTTTTTTTTTTTTCTGTTTTTCGTGGTCATTTTTTTCTGTTTTTTGTGGTATTTTTTTTTGTTTTTGTTTTTCGGGGTATTTTTTTCTGAGTTAAGAGAGCAATAGAACAACAGACGCTTTCATTCCTTTCTTGAGAGTTCAATATAATGGAAGCAAACATGACCCGCTTGTTTAGTTTAATCCAGTTTTACTTTGTTTTGGGTTTGAGACACTGGGTGATACGCGTCTTTAAGTCATATAGATGGTGTTAACATTAGTTTGTCGACTTTACGCGGGTACCTTAAGACTTTGCGGTTGTTCAGACAAAAAGCCCATTCAGATCTGCTGGACATTGCAGTGTTTCTCCAGAATCAGTTGGACACATAACCCACTTTGTTTTGGGTTAAAAACAAAGTAAAACTGGATTAAACTAAACAAGCGGGTCATGTTTGCTTCCACTATATTGAGCTCTCAAGAAAGGAATGAAAGCGTCTGTTGTTGTATTGCTCTCTTAACTCAGGGAAAATTGCATAAGTAATCATTCAAGGTTTTATGTGATCCTTAAAGACACCTAAATAACATGTTAAAAGTATGCCAAAATCAGATGGGCCGATAAGGGTCTCAATACAATCAACCAGTTATTTAATGGAACAGAATTCAAATCATTTTCTCAACTTCAAAAACAGTTTGCACTCGCACCAAGTGATTTGCACAGGTGCTTCCAAATACAACACTATATCACAAGTCATAAAGAAAGAGAGACAGTCAGCAAAAGCCCAAATCAAATAGAATAGAATAGATAACATTTATCTCATATATACAAAAGACTTGTTAATGATGTCACACAAAATACCTGGAACATTAAGAAAAAAAATGGGAGCTGACGATAATATATGGGAAGATCTGTGTGCAAACTGTCATAAAGGAATCAGAATTCAATTATGGAAAGAGTTTGATTGGAAAATAAAAATCAGATACTTTAATACCCCCCTCATCATCTCGTCATACATGAAAGAATCCTCAGTGGCACTGTGTTGGAGAAATTGTGGAAAAATTGGGGATCACACGCATATTTTTTGGGAGTGCCCAATAATTTAGGGGCTCTGGGGGAGTGTTAGGAAAGAACTTGATAATATCATGGAGGTAGATGTCCCACCAGACCCACTAATATTTCTGTTAGGAGTTACACCTAAAGATAGATATAGCACGGATCAGAGATATATACTGAGGATACTCATACTGACTGCCAAGAAAATTCTAACAATGAATTGGAAAGACACAAAACCACCAACTATAAACCAGTGGACACAGAGATTTAAAATGGTAAACACGATGGAACGAATGACAGCAAGTCTGCAACAGAAAATGGACTCAAGTTACACTATATTTGGGGATCTAATCAAATAGAATCAGTGTTTAAAACATAATTTTAAGATGAAATTATATAGTGAATAACATCTACATGTAAACATTTAACTTCCGAACATGTTTTAACTGCCTTTATAAAGCAATCCAGAGTAGTGTGCCTTGTAACATATGAAAATAATGTGTGGTTATGGTATGGTACGTTTTCAGCGGACATCCAGTATTCATAGAATCTTGGCTACATCTGTAGCTGTCAATTTCAATTAAACCATTATTGAATTTTCTGCACATACAAATTTGTCTTAGTGATGTTTTCCATGAAAACCAAGATGCATTTCAACACACAAAATAAAACCTTAAATGAGGCTAAGCTTGAAACATGCCCCAACTGTAGGCCAACATGTTATTGTCACTCTATGTTCTCATCCAAATGTGGCGACACATTCACGCACACCTCTATACTCTGTACAGGCTAGGGGGCAATCGAGCCCTTGACGATGGCATTTGCATCACATAGTGCCGCAACCTGACTTGCAACTACAGCACACCAGCTCCAACAAAGATTGAGGAGCAGGGTACTGGTCGTGATGGATAGGGATGAGGCATGAGTCTTGGATCCTCCAGCCTCATTCCCATCCACTTTATTAGGAGGCAAAAAATGGTTTGGGTAAAAATGTACACATTTTTTCTCCAGAATTGGCTTTCTGGGAGAAAACATACAAGGGAAACTTCTTACGCATTTGGCATGAACTGACATTTTTTTTAACCAAAACTATGCTTCAAATGATGATATCTGATGACTTTTAAAAGTGACCACTGGTCCATGCAACAAACACTCATGGCCTAGCATTATAAAGGAATTTTGTTGAGATAAAGGTCCAATTTGCTTGAGGGTTTGTCAATGTCCATTAAAGAAACTTGCATATTGAGTCATCACACAACAGTGTCTGTCATGTTCTGTCCACATCAGTATAATATGGAGTTAAAATACCTTGCTTAGTGATGCATGAACAGGAGGAAGTAAATAATAATAATAAACTTTATTTGTACAGCACTTTTCAAAACACGATTAAAAAGTGCTTTATATGAGACAAATAAAACAGTATACACCATCAAGATTAAAACAGCAATTCAAACAATGAACACAGGCTAAGACCAGATAAATAAATAAATAATAAAAAAGAAGGATAGAAACTAGACACACAACCAATTTACTGTAAAAAGGCCTTCCTGTAAAAGTATGATTTGAGGAATGTTTTAAACTAAAACACTGAGTTTGCCAACCTAAGTTGCTCAGGTAAGGAGTTCCAAAGCTGGCTCTAACAGAGGATGCCCCGTTTCCTTTTGTAACAATGCAGGCAGTAGGAACAGTTAGTAGGGTCCTACCTGAGGAGCGCAGGCAGCAGGAATAAGTAAATCTATCATGTATGTTGGAACAACGCCATGTAGCGCTTTAAAAGTGATTATTAAAGGTTAAATTATTTCTATACTTAACAGGTAGCCAGTGTAGCATTGCAAGGGTGGGAGTTACAGTATATGGTCTTGTCTCTTGGAATTAGTTGAAAGTCTGGCATCCGAGTTTTGAACAAGGTAGAGATGGGAAATGGCCTTCTGGCTGAGCCCTGAATACAGGGAATCACAGTGATAAAGTAAAGGGAGAATTTCCTTTGCTTTTAGAACCCAGCAGCATGGATGGATTATTGAACGGGCAAACTATCTCCCCATGCCCAACAGTGTGGACACATGACTGACACTTGTTTTTATGCTGACCTATCTGATTACACTTACATGGCACTTTGCTTTCTACAAAACTTCACCATTGCATATTGAATACCATTACATGCTACTAATTTAAGTGATACACAGTTTTAGTTTCTAAATCCAGACCATGTGGTAGCCTTCATTGCTCAGAGATGTCACCAATGTGGTCAAGTTATGGTAAAGTTTTGTAAAAAGATCAGTTTTGGAAGTGGGCCTGTATGCTACTGGGCTAAAGAGGAAGTGGGAACAGGGGTGCAGGTGGTCGCAGGGTTTCTGCAGGACAGGTGGGAGTGGCAGGATCTGAAACAGCAAGAGAGTTAGTACATGTCAGGGGAAAAAAGTAGGCAAAGTAATTGTGCAACTAGGAACGTGCTGACATTTTGTGACATGGATGGCTCCTGACATGCCTCCAGGCTGGTCTGGGTCACTGCTGTGAAACTCTTCAATGTGTGGGCTCCCCCTCAAAGGCTTAACCCAGGAGATATGGAAAGCGGAGCAATCAAAGAGCCTGTTTAGACCTGGTATTAATCACATCAAGAGATGGTCTGGGCCTCATATGGCCACATTTTTTCACAGTGTGAACACCAATGTGCCCTGGGCTACTGCGTACACCTCTCCAATTAAATAAGAATTACACATTTTAAATGATAAAGGCCCAGATCACTATACATATCACTTATTTATTGCTTATTTTCTTATTTTGAAAAGCAGAGGTAGCCACATATGTGTCCTGGGCCAAAAAAAATGCCCTCCAATGAACAATTACAGAGAGGTAAAATCAAACAGTGAAGAAATTGTTCCAAGTTATTAAACAAATAACGGTGAACAAATAATTTTGTTCTTCATTTATTTATTCAATCCTGAGGGCTACTTTAATGAAATATTGGCCAAATTGCGTGCATTGCTTATTCCCTAATGTCTGTGTTCATATTTGATAATTATTATGTTTTATTTAATCTTTTTGTAAAGCACTTTGTTAGATGTTTTTAAATATGCTCCATAAATAAATGTAGTATTGTTTGAAAATGTGTGCACTACATTCTGAGTCTTAGTTTACATTTATTGTTGTGCCTCTTGCTGGCCTGGCAAAAGTCCTTGCATGACAGTAATATCAATCAATCAATCAATTTTATTTATAAAGCCCAATATCACAAATCACAATTTGCCTCACAGGGCTTTACAGCATACGACATCCCTCTGTCCTTATGACCCTCGCAGCGGATAAGGAAAAACTCCCCCAAAAAACCCCTATAACGGGGGAAAAAAAAATATATACAGTATATATATATATAGAATATATAGCTTAAAAAAAGGATCATTATTATATGAATTTTGATTTCATTTACTTGATTTTGGTAGTTTTATCTTCAGTGTAATGATTTTGAAACACTGCGCATATGAAACTTAAGTAAACAAGTGTTGGATTGCTGTTTGGAAAGTCAACAGTTCCTGAATCAGGCTGACAGGTGAAAATTGCAGGTCATGACACGATGCCATTTTATTGAAAACTGGAACATTTGTAAATTTATGCAACTAAAGCCACTCTATTTTAAAGCATATTTATAATATCCTATTTCACAATAATGTTTTTATCATCATTTATGTGAGTTTAAGGCGGTAGATGCCTCAAAACTGTAGCAGTTAAATTTTGGCCATTTATTAAATAAAATGAGTAAGTTAAAATGTCAAATATCGCTGTGCAGTGAAATGTATGAAGGTTAAATATTTATAGATCAATGCATATAAATGTGTTATGCTATACAATTGTATAACATTGCATTTCGTCTGTTTAAAATGTGTTATCCCACCAGAGAGAAAACATCTCTGGATTTTGGACATCAGGCTGTTTGTGCCAGGAAAACCAAGAGTCAGGTTGAGACAACTTGTTACAACAGTGACTTTTCATCTGTGTTATACTCTGTTTGTCTAATCTGCATGTCAGGGCATGGTAACATCAGTGACAATGACAGCTGATATTTAGTTAATGATACATTTCGTTGGGCACACACTCAGCGAAAACTGGCTATAAAAGGAAGACTCAGCTTGCAGTCCTTCACATTCACCAGCCATGAGGGTGTTTGTGCTAGCCTTCACTTTGGCCCTTGCGGGTGAGTATGCAACTAAGATTTAACTTAGAATTTTAAGTTCTGAAAATGTTGCTTCTTGTAGAGTGAGATAATAGCACTGTCCTGTTGAGGAGTACAGCGTAGAATTTCTCCAGTGTTATTGTATCGTATCAAGATAAAATAGGAAAATAAATTAAATCATTAAGAGAACTACAAGTGAACTTGCTGAGACATTAGGTTCTCCAGTTTTACCAACTGTCTTGCCACTTAAATACAGTTTGGAAAAAAAAAGATGGCATATAAAAAACCTTTGCAAATTCTTTTTTCTTCTGTTTTTGTACACCAAAATAACATTTTATTCTTCTTTTGTAGCGGGTTACCAGGTCAACTTTGGTAAGTAGTCATTGTATTACATGAAAAACGCAATTCTGCTGTATTAATGTAGAAGGCTTCTGTTTCTCTTTTTCAAAATTTTATTGAAATGCAAATGCATTCATTAGTTTTTTATTTTTTTGTATATCATTGCAGCCCCTGAGTTTGCAACTGGAAAGACCTATGTCTACAAATATGAAGCCCTTGTTATGGGTGGTCTGCCTGAGGAGGGCCTGGCACGGGCTGGAGTTAAAGTCCGTAGCAAAGTTATGATCAGTGCAGCAGCTGCCGACGTCTTCATGCTGAAAGTAAAGACCAATAAAATGTTTTAATACTATTTATTTCTGATTTACGCCGAATAAACTAGAATAACGATTTTCCATTTTCCTTATAAATAATCAAGCGTTCAGTTAATTCAAACTGTCACTCTTCCTTACAGCTTGTTGACCCTGAAATCTTCGAGTACAGTGGCATCTGGCCCAAGGATGCTTTCATCCCAGCCACCAAGCTCACATCAGCCCTGGCTGCTCAGCTCCTGACACCCATCAAGTTTGAGTATGCCAACGGTGTTGTCGGCAAAGTTTTCGCTCCGGCTGGCATCTCTGCAACTGTGCTGAACATCTACAGGGGAATCCTCAACGTCTTCCAGCTGAACATCAAGAAGACTCAGAACGTCTATGAGCTGCAAGAGGTAAAAATAACTCATCTTTATAGAGTTCCACCTATAAAATGCCACCATAGTTAAAATGACAAACTGTGATTGGATTTCTGTGAACTAGCCTGGCGCACAGGGTGTGTGCAAGACCCACTATGTCATCACTGAGGACGCAAAGGCTGATCGCATCCTGCTGACCAAGACCAAGGACCTGAGCCACTGCCAGGAGAGAATCATCAAGGACATCGGTCTGGCTTACACAGAGAGATGCGCTGAGTGTGAGGCTGTAAGTGCAAATTCCCTCTCTTAAGTCCTACTCTCTAATACACAGAAACACTTCTGGACACTGCCAGTGTGATGATATTTTGGGTCTTGTCAATGCAGAGAGGAAAGACCCTGAAGGGAACCGCTGCTTTTAACTACATCATCAAGGCAGCAGCCACGGGCGCTCTGATCCTGGAGGCATCTGCAACAGAGCTCATCCAGTTCTCACCTTTTAACATCTTGAATGGTGCTGCCCAGATGGAGGCTAAGTAGGTGTTTTAGATTTTTTTTTAAAGAGTGCAATAACAGTTTGTTAAGCACTGTTCTCAGCACAAAATTTCACAATGCATATTATGTATATTCACAGGCAAGTCCTGACATTCCTGGAGATTGAGAAGACCCCAGTGGAGCCCATCAGAGCTGAATATCTTCACCGTGGATCCCTGCAGTATGAGTTTGGTAGCGAGCTTCTCCAGACACCCATCCAGCTTCTGAGGATCAGCAACGCTGAGGCTCAGGTACTTCAGGAAATATTCTCTATCAATCAGATTTTTGTGTTGAATTAGTCCTGTGGCATCAAACTTTAACATGGGAGAAATTTTGTTTTGTGACAGATTGTTGAGATCCTGAACCACCTGGTGACCAACAATGTGGTCAAGGTCCATGAAGACGCCCCTCTGAAGTTTATTGAGCTCGTCCAGCTGCTGCGTGTGGCCAGACTTGAGAGCATTGAGGCCCTCTGGACTCAGTTTAAAGCTAGACCCGATCACAGGTAACTGTGACTTTCAGTCAGAGAAGAGCCATGAAAAAAGCCTGCCATAGATAATATAATAATAATAATATATTTTCCTTTCCCAGGCACTTTATCCTGCATGCTATCCCTGCCATTGGTACCCACGTTGCTCTGAAGTTCCTCAAGGAGAAGTTCATTGCTGGTGAGCTGACTATTGCTGAAGCTGCTCAGGCACTGCTGGCATCTGTGCACATGGTGACAGCCGACCTGGAGGCCATCAAGCTTGCTGAGGTAAGTCAACATTAAAAGTTTTCTTGACTGTTTGTAATGACGTGAGAACTGGGACGTAAAATCAGTTGTTTATTTCATCATTCCTCAGGGCCTGGCTGTGAACCAGAAGATCCAAGAAAACCCAGTTCTGCGTGAGATTGTCATGCTGGGCTACGGCACCCTGATGGCTAAATACTGTGCGGAGACCCCAACCTGCCCAGCTGAGCTTGTGAGGGTATGTATCTTTTTGTGTGTGTGTGTGTTTTATAGACTAATATTCAGTTATAACATCAATGGCATCAAGGATTTTCCATTCCTCCCACAGCCCATCCACGAACTTCTTGTCCAAGCTGTTGCCAGAGGTGAAACTGAGGAGCTCATCATCCTTCTCAAAGTCCTGGGTAATGCTGGACATCCTGCCAGCCTCAAGCCAATCATGAAGCTCCTGCCTGGCTTTGGCAGTGCTGCTGCTGCTTTGCCACTCACAGTTCACATTGACGCTGTTCTGGCCCTGAGGAACATTGCGAAGAAGGAGCCCAAGCTGGTGAGATTATATTTTTCAAATTACTTCTATTACTGAGATAAAGTGTCCTAAGACCTGCTTTGTTGTGTGCAGTTTTATTCATAACATTCACCTTTGTAAATTAGATCCAGGATGCCGCTGTTCAGATGTTCATGAACAAGGCTCTCCACCCAGAGCTCCGCATGGTTGCTGCTATCGTACTGTTTGAGACCAAGCTGCCCATGGGTCTGGTGACTACTCTTGCTGATGCCCTCTTGCAAGAAAAAAATCTGCAGGTCGCTAGCTTTGTGTATTCATACATGAAGGCCATGACCAAGAACACCGCTCCTGACTTGGCCTCTGTGTAAGAGCTTAAATATTTCCTTTTGCATTTCTTTTTTTTTGGCTATTTAAACAACCTAGCACAAAAAAACTCACATATTTTACTTTACTTTCAGTGCTGCTGCCTGTAACGTTGCTGTGAAGATCCTCAGTCCCAAATTTGACAGACTGAGCTACCGCTTCAGCAGAGCTCTCTATATTGATGCCTACCACAGTAAGAGCATAACAGAATAATAATTTGTTAACAGAGACTTCTGATTAAATCACTTGGTTTGACGGCTCTTGTATTTTGCCTTGCAGGCCCCTACATGATGGGTGCTGCCGCTAGCGCCTTCTACGTCAACAATGCGGCAACTGTTCTGCCAAGAGCCATTGTTGCTAAGGCTCGCACCTACCTGGCAGGAGCTTATGCTGATGTTCTTGAGGTATGACAATCATGTCCTACATTGCAAGTTGACAGAATGAAAGGCTCTTCACATGCAGAACTTTCTCATAGGGGTTAGGCATTATTTAGCCCCTTCCCAAAAAGCTATTCCGACATGGTTGGTACAATGGATGTCATAGGTTGTCTTGTTTTATAAGATACCACTCCCCTCATGCTAGCTTAAAAAGCGAGTGTGCCACAGACTTGAAAAAATGCTGGCCATCAATTATTTTCACCAGGGCAGACCAGCATATCTATGTATATACACATTGCACACTCACCCATCAAATGCTTTTTTTTTTCAGCTTGGAGTGAGAACCGAGGGAATCCAGGAGGCCCTTCTGAAAATCCCTGAGGCTCCTGAGAATGCTGACAGGATGACCAAGATGAAAGCAGTTATGAAGGCTGTGAGTTTCAAGGATCACTCCAATGCTATGTTTTTTAGCACATTTGGTTCATAGGAGCTACAGTGTTTAATTTGCTGTTTCTTCCTCAAACAGCTTTCTGATTGGAGGGCTCATCCTACCAGCCAGCCCCTAGCCTCTGTGTATGTGAAATTCTTCGGACAGGAAATTGCATTTGCCAACGTCGACAAAGCCATTATTGATCAGATTATTGAGGTACAGCATCTTCTACTTTACAAATGAATTCTAAGTGATAAATGTATTAAAAATCTGATATCTTACAAGGAATTCCATGTTCACAGCTTGCCAGTGGACCATCAATTCAGACTTATGGCAGGAAGGCTTTGGATGCTCTGCTGTCAGGTTTCACACTGCATTATGCTAAACCAATGCTAGTTGCCGAGGTTCGTCGCATTCTTCCCACCACTGTTGGTCTGCCCATGGAGCTCAGTTTCTATACTGCTGCTATGGCTGCTGCATCTGTTGAATGTAAGTTTCACTCATGTAACTTAACTGTTGCTGATCTGAGAAAATTATTTCCATATTAAAACATGTTCTTTTTCATAGTCCAAGCCACTGTGACACCACCTCTGCCTGAAAACTTCCATGCTGCCCAGCTTCTGAAGTCTGACATCAACATGAGGGCTGCCCTTACTCCAAGGTAAGCTTACTTAATAACTAATTAATCTTCTCCTCATCTGTTTAACCATAAAAAACAAATGTATTCTGGGAGATCGTCCTTTAAGTTGACATTGTCTGTCTCTTGCAGTATTTCCATGCATACCTATGCAGTTATGGGAGTGAATACTGCTTTCATCCAGGCTGCCCTGCTGTCAAGAGCCAGAGTTCACACAATTGTTCCTGCAAAGGTGGAAGCAAGAATCGACATGATTAAGGGCAACTTCAAGCTTCAGCTCCTGCCTGTCCAGGGCGTCGATAAGATTGCATCCGCACTGTATGTACTTCCTTGTCACTAGCATGTGTCACTCAGTTTTAAAATTCTGTTTTCTTAAAGCTGTTTTTCCTGTCTCCAACAGCGTTGAGACTTTTGCTGTTGCAAGAAATGTGGAAGACCTCGCAGCTGCCAAATTCACACCAATGATTCCAGCTGAAGTTGCAAAACGGTTGTCAAGGGAGTCCTTCTCTTCAAAGATCTCAAGGATGGCATCCTCTCTGGCTGGTAGCATGGTGAGTTTGATGTACTGCTTACTTTTCAAACACAATTATCTAAACTGTTACAAATGAATGTGGTGACCTCTGTTGTGCTTTTACAGTCAGCATCATCTGAAATCATTCCCGTTGACCTGCCAAGTAAAATTACCAGAAAACTGAAACTCACCAAGGCCTTTGAGAAGAAAATGTGTGCTGAGATTGAAACCTTTGGAATCAAGGCATGCACTGAGATTGAGTCTCGCAACGCTGCCTTTATCAGAGACTGCCCTCTCTATGCCATGATTGGAAAACATGCTGTCTTAGTTGAGGTTGCTCCAGGCAAGTAAAATGGATAAAAATAAAATTAATGATACAAGTAGCTGTGTAAAAAGTTGCTAAAAATCCATTTGTCTATTTGGTTGTAGCTGCCGGACCAACCATCGAGAAGATTGAAATTGAGGTCCAGGTTGGAGAAAAAGCAGCAGAAAAGATCATTAAAGCTATCAACGTGAGCGAGGAAGAGGAAATTCTCGAGAACAAGAATGTCCTGATGAAACTCAAGAAAATCCTGGTTCCTGGTCTGAAGAACAGCACATCAGCTTCTTCCAGTTCCAGCAGCTCTCGTTACAGCAGCTCCCGCTCAAGCGTCTCCTCCTCTGCATCATCCAGCTCCTCCTCTCGCCGCAAGAGCAAGATGGTTGACATTACCGCTCCAGTCAGCAAGGCATCAAAGAGACTGAGCAGCTCCTCCAGCAGCGCATCAAGCAGCCGTTCATCTCTCCTTGCCAGCAGCTGCTCTTCTAGCTCCAGCTCCTCCAGGTCCAGCTTACTGTCCAAGGTGAGACAGCTTTCACTTCTAATGTGCAAAAACACCCTGCATAATCAAAAAAGTAGGTGCAGGAATTAATCTGCTATTTTTTCTACTGCAGCAAGAACTGTATGAGATGAAGTTTACCAAGCACCACATCCACCAGGTAATTATCAGATTGATGAGACACCCACATTGTGTTCATCAAGTTTTAAACAGGCTAAATATATGGTATCTTTGTTTGCAGCATGCCCTCTCCACAGTCCGTGCCAGCAGCAAGAGCAGCGCCTACAGCTTCGAGACCATCTACAATAAGGTAAGTCATCAGAAGCCATTTATAGTCTCTTATATTCAGTGGGAAAAATCTAAACTTTAATTAATATCACTCTCTGGTTTGCACTTTAAGGCCAAGTACCTCGCTAATGCCGTCACTCCTGCTGTGACCATTCTCATCCGTGCTGTGAGAGCCGACCACAAGATTCAGGGATACCAGATTGCAGCTTACTTTGACAAAGCTACTGCCAGACTGCAGCTCATTTTTGCCAACCTGGCTGAGAACGACCACTGGAGAATCTGCGCAGATGGTGTGATGCTGAGCCGCCACAAGCTGATGGTAAAAAACCTTAACTTGGTGCAACAGTTGTTAGAGATCTGTGTGATGCTTGAGATTTTAAGTCTGATTAAATTTCTTTTAGGCCAAGATTGCCTGGGGCATTGAGTGCAAGCAGTACGAGACTGAGATCACGGCTGAGACTGGTGTTGTGGGTAAAGAACCTGCTGCCCGCATGAAGATTACCTGGGAGAAACTTCCGCTAAGCATGAAGCGCTATGCAAAGGAGTAATGTCACAAACTAATGCAGACTTCAAACATTTTAATCTGATTTATAAAATGTGTAAAACAAGGTAATGAATTCCTACCTTCTCTCAGCAACTACCTTCATTGACATTGCAACATTTCGGTCATTATCAGGCGTCCTGAATGTATATGAAAGTGGGAATTCAGGACTTTGTTTTTGCGTGATTTCATTTTCCAACAAACCTATCTACCACACACTTATTAAAAATTGAAATTAATAACCTAAACCTTTATGTCTACCTAGGATCTCTGAGCTCATTTCCCGCCTCGCTAAGGAATACGAAATAAACCTGGCAAAGGTCAAAAATGTTCGTAACCAGATCAAACTGTCTGTGGCTGTTGCTACTGAGACTAGCCTGAACATTGTGCTGAAGACACCAAAGGTACAGTTTTACTCCCCATTATTTACACACAGAAAATGTCTGAATCATACTTTCCCACCCAAGTTGCATATATACACTCTTCATAACCATTTTGATATTTCATTAATACAGAGGACACTTTACAAACTTGGTGTGGGTCTCCCCATTTCCATGCCAATCGGAGAAACTGCTGCTGAGCTGGTGCCATACCAGAACAACTGGGCTGACAGGGTCTCCTACATGATCTCCAAGGCTCATGCAGGTGAAAACATTTAAGCAGGTCATACTGAATAGTTAGGGTGATTAGTTAGTAACTAATTTACTGATTAATCTTTTCTTCCCACTGTAGTTGAGTGCACCATGGCCAAAGACACACTGACCACATTCAACAAGAGGAAATACAAGAATGAGATGCCTCACTCTTGCTACCAGGTTTTGGCTCAGGATTGCACCCAGGAACTTAAATTCATTGTTCTGCTGAAGAGGGATCAAACACAGGAACAAAACCAGCTCAACATTAAGATCGCAAACATGTAAGAACAAGTGTTTATCTCTAAATTGTAAGAACTGGAAAGAAATCCAGACATTAACTTTCATACATGTATTTTAATTGTTTTCCAACAGTGATGTGGACCTGTATCCAAAGGACAGTGTCATCATGGCTAAGGTTAACGGAGTAGAAATCCCCATCAGCAACCTGCCATATCAGCACCCCACAGGTTTTTTATTCTATTAATTCAAATTTAACTGTCACGCTAAAATAATTCACTTTGTGAGTGTTAAAATCACATATTTATACGTATTTACATCCATTTTAGGCAAAATTCAGATCAAACAGAGAGGTGAGGGCATCGCTCTCCATGCTCCCAGCCATGGTCTCCAGGAGGTCTACCTTGATCTGAACGCACTGAAGGTGATACAAGACATCTGACTTCATCTTTAAGATTTAAGTTTAATTTATATTCATTACTCTTCATGGAGCAAACACCCAATTGTTTGGTCTTTTTCTCCAGGTTAAAGTTGTGGACTGGATGAAGGGACAGACCTGTGGACTCTGTGGAAAGGCCGACGGTGAAATCAGACAGGAGTACCGCACACCTAACGAGCGCGTGTCCAAGAACGCTGTCAGCTACGCTCATTCCTGGATTGTGCCTGCAAAGAGCTGCCGTGATGCTTCTGGTAACACTCACAATACCTTTATAAGAATATCTGTTACACTCATATTGGCAACATATAAACTAATTTGCATGGTCAGAATCTGGCTTCTGCTAAGGGCTGCTGTAGATAAACATATGTAGATTTACGGTATGTACCTTGCTTTTTCACCCTTTTCCAGAGTGTTACATGAAACTTGAATCTGTGAAGCTGGAGAAGCAGGTGATCCTCCATGGCCAGGAGTCCAAATGCTACTCTGTTGAGCCCGTGATGCGCTGTCTGCCCGGCTGCCTGCCAGTGAGAACCACCACCGTCACTGTCGGCTACCACTGCGTGCCCATTGGTGAGTCTGCAAGAAAAACAGCTGTTTCACAAATCTGAAACATATTACATCTTGTTATCTTGTACAGCACCTAACTGCTTTACTATCTCCATTTTTTCAGATTCTAACCTGAACTTCTCTGAGGGTATGAGCAGCATCTATGAGAAGAGCATTGACCTGAGGGAAACAGCAGAAGCACACCTGGCCTGTCGCTGCACCACTCAGTGCGCTTAATCTCATCGCCTTCAGCCATACTATATTGTAGTTTTTGTTTCATACAAGTGTTGTTAATCACTTTGTTTGAACTGTAAATTTAAATAAATTGCAGAAGCATCAGTTACCTGCAATTCTTTGGAAATGCTGCTGCTATGAGGCAATAAAGCAAACACAAAAACATCTACTGAGAGCTCATTCATCTATTATACTCATTTTTACACATGCTAAAATGAAAGAGAGTTACAGTGAATATGAAATATTTCTCCCACTGAAATAAAGAAAAAAGCTAATCAACTCTACATTAAATGTTAAACAATTTAGCGACAAATTCTATACAAATTCTATCCACTTTTAACACGGTATTTTCAGTGATAAACATTTTTTTCTTACAATTTTTGGTAAAACTCTAAACTATAATGTCATAAAGATCTACACTGAATGTGGCTCCCTAAGAGCTCAAAAAGGACTGACCCCTCTCTTTGACGTAATTATCTTAAACACTGAAGTCTCGATTCTCTGAAGTCTATTCTGCTCTTCATGTTAAAGTCAGTGGTAGAGGAAGTACATCAAAATAGCACAAATGAATACAAGGAGAAGCAGCAGGTCCTTACATTTGAGAAGCGGGAACCATGAAATGTCTTTGCATGAAAAAAATGACAAATGATTATCAAAATAATTGCCAAATATATTTCTAAGTCTTAAGGCTGCTGTGAAACTGCGCCGACTTAGGGCAACAAAAAAGTTTGTCTTGGGTGCATCGGTACAATGGACAATCAAGAGAGGATGGCAGAAGAAATACCTGCACAACAATTCCACTGAGCTTGACAGCCACAAAAAAGGTTCACAGGCTGAGAACAATTTCAAAAAATGTAAATTTATTCAAAACATCTGTGCACAAAAAGAAGAGTGCTCAAAATGCAAAAAATAATATTGGAAAGTAATAAAAACGGCAGCAAACGTTTCAGTCCTTGACTATCATTAGTGCTAGGACTGAAGTCAAGGACTTAAATGTTTGCTGCTGTTTTTATCACTTTGTAAAGTAACTAGCAACTAAAGTTATCAAATAACTGTAGCAGAGAAAAAGTACAATATTTACTTCTTTGAGTAGAAGTATAACGTGGCATGAGATTAAAATACTCAAGTAAATTAAAAGTACGTCAAATTTAAGTAGGTCTACAGCACTTGTAACTGTAGCCTACTTTGTCACATTCCACTCATGGTTATAGTTAATTATTACTGTCTGGGCAGCAGTGGTTAGCATTGTCGCCTCGAAGCAAGAGAGTTCCTAGATTGAACTCAGGGTGGGGGGTTCGAACTCCAGGGTGGGGGGGCCCTTTTGTTCAGAGTTTGCATGTTCTTCCCATGTCAGGGTAGGTTTTCTGCAGGTACTCTGGCTTCCTCCCACAATCCAAAAACCTGCAGATTAGGTTAATTAGTAACTCTAAATTGTCCGTAGGTGTGAATGTGAGTGTGAATGGTTGTCTGTCTCCATGTGTCAGCCCTGTGATAGTCTGGCAACCTGTCCAGGGTGTAGCCTGCCTCTTGCCCCATGTCAGCTGGGATAGGCTCCAGCCCCCCTGCATTCATTTATATGAAAAATTAATGAATGAATATCTAAGCTCATTAAAGAAACATCACAAAACATTGAAATATATATCATCGTGAAAGTGGTTTCTGTAAGGGTAGATTTTTTAATCAAAATGTTTTTGACTCTTGTTAATATATCTGTCATACAGTATATAATAGCAAACATTACAGGGGATGATGTAGTTGTGGTTTTATTGGAGACCGACTGAAGTTTCATTAAAGTACTTAAGTATATTAATTAGTTAGCTAATTACCGTAAAACTGCAATTGAAAGCATAGTCCCAAATAAACTTAGCTTGGTTCCAGACCATAGACCCCGCCCACTCAACTGAGTAGGCTTGCATCTCTGGTCTGGCATACTGCAATGAATTTGCGATTTATCTCATCCAAACGATGGAAGGACCAATGAATGCCGGGGGTGTGGGCAGGTCTAGCGATTAGCCAATCAGCGCCACGCTGATGTCAAGCTGTGTGCCGGTAACTGGTGACGATAGCAACAATGGCTACCGCTACAGATCCTACAGACCACATTAACGATGCTATCGTGGTATTTCGCCACTACTCGCGTTAATGGAGGACCAAATTAAAGAAGCTGCTAAACTGGATTTAACGGCGATGCAGCTGGGCGACATCTTAAACGGGCAGTGCTCGCTTGTTTTCGGCACCCCCGAGGCATGGATACTAATGACGTCAGACTCTGGGTGAGTCGTTGATCTCTACTGATTGGTTAGGGAAAAATCTAATTTCCTCCCCCTTGTAAATCGCCTTCAATGGCGGCGATGTCAGACTGAAGGTTCTGGGAGCTTCAGTCTGACACTCAGGCTAAAATAAACTCCCAGTCCCTTTCACTAGTTCATTTTTTTGACAGAAGTTCTTTGGATATATAAAAGCCAGTTGTTGGTTACCTCAAATTATGTGTCCATTCCTTGATTACTCTGTAAGTTATTCCTACTTAGTTCGTAAGGGTCCTTAGATCAAAAGGGTTTTTCATAAAAGTTAATCCAAATTGTGAGTACTGTTTTAACAGCATAAAGTGGCGTGTTGGTATGCTGGGTGCCGTAACTCTGTCTCTCTGATGCACTGTCTGTCGGAATTAGATCAAATGAATGATTCATAATTGCTACATTAACTGAAGCCTAATTCTTAAACAAGTAATATTCATACTGGTTTAGATAAACAATTTCATTGTTTTCCCCAGTCTTTGCTGACTAAAGTTTGTGTGAAAGGAATTAAAGGCCCGTCCTATATTGATGCCTGTCCCAAAATATAGGCCCATTGATTTCAGTGATTTAAGCAAATAATAGCCTGGGTGTGTTACAGCATGAGCAGCTCATGTCTGTAGGTTAAATATGAAGATTCAGCTGGCAGCTGGTTTGTTTAGCCTAGAACAAGGTATGGAAGTGTTTTAACAATTTAATGACAAATGACAACTAATCCATCTGCTCATCTTTCTCACAATCAGCCACGTTAAAATAAACAACGAGGTCTTTATAATCTCAGAGCAGCTGCAGTAAAAGTTGAATTATTCATACTGTTCGTATGAGTATTCTTTTTAAAAAGTTGCTGAATCATAGCCTGGCAAAAACATGATTCATGTGCAAAGTCTGTCTTTGACAAAGGAGAATAAATAAAAATTAAATGTTATTTTTGGGCCTCACAAATTAAACCTTTATGGATTTATTATGGACATACTGGCTCAATATTTTTAAAAAAAGCATTATGTGTTAAGACCTTGACTTTTCAACACGTTCCCCTAAAAAACTTAAATGGCTGAATGGCCTGGAGCCACACTAAAAACTTGGAGAAAACACAGTCACTTTGGATAACCTAAGGCCATTTCAGCACAAACTAATATTAAATCCATAAAGGATTTTGTACCCTCACATATAGTTATATAGGAAGTGTAGGTTTTAGAAAATGTTCAGCACATGGACTTACTAATTAACACCAACTCTCCGAGGATGACAGCCTTAAATAACTTGAACAGATATGAGAGGAATGTATGCTTCCTATCACATGCTTTTTCTTTTTCAGATATTTACAATTATTTTTTTTAGCAAAACATACAGAATTGGAAGTCTTGGGGCCCACTCCAACTGAGGATTTCTTGATAAAATTACAAACAGGGAACAAAGATAAGAAAGTTATATGTTATTTTTACCAAATATTTATAGACATGGAATTGATAAAAGGGAGATGGGAAAGAAATGAATATGGAAATGCCAGAGAGCACATGGTAACAAATTCAAATACATGAAGGAAATTCAATTCAATCAATTTCAATCAATTTATTTGTTACATGAAATCATAAAACGTGCTTTTAGTGAACTGTAGTTGTCAGTTCAGTCAATTTGTAGTAGTAGTCACCTCTATGGGTGAATTTAGAAGAAGAATTAAATGCTCCATTTAAAGCAGCAGACTATCTGAGCCATAGGCCAAAGTTACAAGGACAGAATCCTATAATCTCTAATACAAGGGACATCTGGCACTATATGCATAAGAAAGAAGGAGTATCTCCTTTTCTTACAGGCTCATCATCAATATGGAATAACCCTTTATTAAAAATAGGGGGAAAGGTGTTCTTCTGGAGAGAGTGGCATACTAAAGGAATCGAGCATATCCAATGTCTCTACCACAACAATACTTTAAAATCATTTGAAGAATTAAAGGAAACATACGACCTGCATAACAGAGATTTCTGGAAATTCTTACAGCTCAGGGATTGCATGTCTAAGGCAGCCCCCAGAGGTGTTGAGCTGCCAATCCAATCTCCTATCTCCTCTAAATTTATATTATTAAGTACAATGCCTCACCTTGTGGGTAAAATTTATAATCATCTTACTAGTGGGTTTAAGGGTAATACAACAGGCTTAAAGGTTGTGTGGGAAAGAGACTTGGGAATAACTTATGAGGAGGAAGAATGGAGCAGATTGACTGGGGAGATGCTAAATCCAGTGAGAGATGCCAGGTCCAAACGTATCCAGTTTAAAATATTCAATAGACTATACTGGACACCAGTGAGGATGAATAGACTTGGGTTGAGTGAGTCAAACCTGTGTTGGCGCTGCAAAACAGATAAAGAAGATCTTCTCCACATGTTCCTTTACTGCCCCAACTTAACTGCCTACTGGCAGAGGGTTACAGAAAAGATCATAGATAGTCTAGGCACAAATATCAGTCTTACTCCCGCATTATGTCTCCTGAATAGTATGAAAGGAAACAAGAGAATAAATGAGAAAAAAGCACAGTGGCTAAAGGTAGCACTCACCACTTCTAAAAGAGTCATATTGAGGCATTGGGCAGGAAAGAATAACCCGACCTTCTCTGAATGGCTCAATGCATTCATTTTATTCATTTCGATTAATTTCATTTTGTTTGTTTGTTTTGATGGTACCATTATATACATTCAAATGAAATCCACATCAACTGTATATTGACTGTATGTGTATAGGCAGTGCTCACATTGTCACAGGTCAGTTTATTTTTGTCATAATTCAGTGATGTGTAGAGAACCCTCTCACCTAGAGGTGTGTTGGTTTTAGTTATTTTGTGAATGTATGATGTGTACTTGTTAACACAA